ACTATTTTCTATTTATCTTCTTCCAAAAGTGGAATTAAGTTATAGGCTTCTTTAAGATTAAGGATAGTAAACTATTTTACTTTATATAGTAAATCTTATAGTTCTAAGATAAGTAGGAGTAAGTAGGCGTTCTTCTTAGTAATATTATTAAGTTTCTAATAGTTAATATATAGTTATAATTTACTATTCTTCTTTAGTATAAATAGAATAAAGTATCTTACTAGTAAGTCTAATAGTCTAATATAACCTTTCTTAAGGTTATTATTTAGCTATTTATTAAGAGCTTCTTATTTAGTTAGGTTAAGGTTATAAATTAGCTTAAGTTTTAGTTACGTCCCTAGTAATAGCTTAATCTTATAGTTATATAGACTATACTTTAGTAGTCCTATTTCTAGTTCTTTAGTAAATAGTTTATTATATTTTTAATAGATCTTAAGAATTACTAAGAGTCTTCTTTTTTCTTATTATTTATTATTTATAAATATAAATCACTTATTTTTTATAAGTTTAATCCTTTAGATAAACGCTATATACTTTAGTTATTTTCCTAATTTACTTAGGGGTTATAGCGCGTAACGCTGCTTTATAGTTAAATCTCTCTACTAAAGTTAGCTAGACTTCTAGCTAACATCTAGCTTATATTTCCTTAACTAAGGAATTCTTAATATTATATTAAATCCTCTTATATTAGTAATATTAAAGTTAAGTTATTAGTTACAGCCTATAATATTTATTAGGAGGTATACTATCTCCTTATTAATAATTCCTTTACTATACTAGACTTATTCTCTTTTAACTATCTATAGGGGGTATAGTTATTCTTTATAGATCTATATAATTTATTACTTATTTACTAATCTAGGTAATATTAAGTTTACTTATACTTTACTATTAATTATAACTTAAGTAAGCTATTTATTTAGTAAGACCTATATAAAGACATAACTATTATCTTCTATTATTATAACGTATAGGGTTTTTATTTATCTTCTAGCTACTTATACCTTACTTATAGTTAGCGTCTTAAGTTTTTTAGCTAATTTAGGTAGGTCCTAGCCTTCTTAATTTATATTTACTATATTTATACTTTTTCTATATAGTAGTATTTATATTTATTATAGTAGTAGTTTAACTAGTGTCTAGTAGTGCCTATTATATATACTACTAGGTATTATAAGTATAGTTTAAGATAAATATTTTATTTTTTATATTCCTTAACTTTTTAGTACTATAGTTCTTTATTTATATAGTATTAAGGTGCTACTATATTATTTATCCTTTAAGGATAAAAGGTATTAATTCCTTTAGCTTCCTTATATATACTATATTTATTATAAATACAGTTTATCTAGAATATTTTTCTATATAGCAGGTGTTTTAGGGCTAGGTGTTTATAATCTCTAAACCTAGGGTTTTCTTAGTTTAAGATAATAAGTTCTCCTTTAATATTAATATCTTTAGTCCTATAGAAGTAAAAGGTTTAGTTATTTATTTCCTTAGAGATTTCCTAAAAATTATAGTTATATGTTTTAGTAAGTATATATATTATATTAATCTATAGAATATAAGGTCTATTATCTTTAGTCTTTATATTATTTATAAGTAGTAATAATAATAGTATATTATTAGCTTATTATTAAATATACTAAGTCTTTTTTTTAGTTTATTTAATTATAATTAGGTTTACTTAAGTTAATCTTATTAGTTATTTTACTACTTTTTATTTTATCTTACTAAGTAGAATAGGTTTATAGTAAGGGAGTTCTTTATTACTTTCTTTTTTACTACTAGTTTTTATTTTATTAGAACTATTTTCTTATACTAAAGTAGGTTCTTAGAACCTAAGTCTAGGTTATAAGAATTCTAGTCCTTTTTTACTAACTACTAGTATTCTAGCTTGTCCTAAGGTTATATATACTTTTATTTATAATTCTTAAGTAAGTTTAAGTGCGTTAAGGCTACTTATAAGCTTTTAGTTAATAAAGTTTTATACTAGTAGTTAATATAGTTAAGGGTAGATTCTTATTATTATATAAGGCTTCTCTTTAATATTTATTTTATACTTAACTTATTATTTAAATT